ATCAACTTACAGTAAGAGGGAGAAATGATAACCAAAAATATGTATTCCATCCTGCTTGGAAAATCACAAACATATGTTATGCATATACTATACATTTTATGAACATATTACATGGAATAAACAAGAGTCGTCTTCAAATTAGAGGAACATTACCATTCACATCCAATAACAAAAGCACTGCCACAAATAGCCATAGGTACCAACTATACGTATATGACATACACAAAACAAGTTAATGGGTAGTGTTTTTCTATACTCAAACGAATAGATACGATTTAATGAAGTTATTACCTTGTGCCAAGAACCTCTCTGAAGACAGCCTCGAGTGTTCGCATCATATATTTGAGAAAATCAAATCTAGGAATGGCAGGGCAATGAGCCTAGATGAGGAAAGGAAATAAAACAAGGTAACTGGTGGCAACTTCCATTTCAAGAAATAAAAGTAATGAATCCATATAATATGATGGTTTGGGTACTTAACCATGATAAACCCTTGTCTAAATGCATGGTACTTCGACTTGGTAACTGAGCTATGAAACTGCTTGAAAAATGACCTCTGCCCACACCACAAATCCATAACATTGTTAAAACGCTATACATCTATAAAGGAGTAAATCATATGTATATGTAAATGAAAGACTTACGATCCAAGTCACGATAGGTGTCTTTTTCCACCCTCCTTTTACATGTTGTGCCATTAACGTATGGCGATGAAGTGTATCATCTGTTGGACAAAAACAACTTCATCATCGATCTTGTTACCTAATGGCAAATTAAATAATACATTAATTTGGAGATAAGTGGTCCCATTATGTTACCACTTCTATTCCTATGAATCTTATCTTTCCAATGTTTCCATGGTCGTATCTGCATATGTAAACAAAAACTTATCAACATTTCTTTGTAATGAATAATATTCATTTATAAGTAAAGTATATTATTTGTCACTAAACTATTAAAACTTTCAATTAAGTAACTAGAAAATTATCAAGGGTTAACATCTTTTGAATGAATAATATTTATTTATAGAATAAGTTTTGCATTATTAGAAACATGTTCTTGGATGTGGTATTCTATATGGCAATCATAATTATACTAGGATCGACTGTTTTTCAAATTTGGATTGGATAAGATGAGATCTACTTCATAATATTATGTGTTTGTTTGAGGCAACTTGGTTTCATGGAAAAGTAAGAAATAAAAATAAGATCTCACGATCATGTGCAGAAGTTGAATATAGATATGGTCAAGTTTGTTTGAAATCATATGGGTATATAAGTTCTTTAATGAAGTTGAATTAAAGTTTCAGTACCTACAAATCTATAATGTGATCATCAAAATTATGGTATGCACTACTTCTAATTTATTCTTTTATGAATGAACAAAACACATCGATGTTGGTTGTCATTCTATTCCTAAAAGGATCCAACATGACTTGATTATTACTGACTATGTGAAAATTGCAGAAAACTATAAAATATTTTTTACGAAATACTCTAAACGGGTCTAAATTGATTATTTATGTAACAAGTTAGGCATGATTAATATCCATGCTACAACTTGAGGGGAGTGCTACAAATTTGTAGGTTAAATATTAAGATTGATATATATTGTATTTAATGTAGTATATTACTTAGCATATTATAGAACCTTTATACTTTTATATATATATATATATATATATATATATATATATATATATATATAGTGAAAATTGCAGAAAACTATAAAATATTTTTACGAAATACTCTAAACGGGTCTAAATTGATTATTTATGTAACAAGTTAGGCATGATTAATATCCATGCTACAACTTGAGGGGAGTGCTACAAATTTGTAGGTTAAATATTAAGATTGATATATTTGTATTTAATGTAGTATATTACTTAGCATATTATAGAACCTTTATACTTTTATATATATATATATATATATATATATATATATATATATATATCCATAATGTTGATGAATAAAATACAAGAATCCATTCTCTTTCTGATATTATTTTATAGTGTTCTTGAAAGAACACTTCTCACAATTCTAACTCAGACAAACATCCTAAATTTCTCAAATCCAAGAAACTCTTAAACTCCAAAAATATTTTTAATAGATTTTTTGTGTTTAATTTAGTGAATATTAAAAAGATTTAGAGAAAATCTTAATCAATAGTGTGACAGATGACAATGAGACAAATTCATTAATATCTAGGGTGGTCGCAAAAGACGTCATCGATCGCTAAAGATGAGGAAAACCCTAAGTTTAGTTGTTTAATTGAAACTTTCTATAACTGAATGATCAAATCGAGATGACACCTAAAGTTCAGTGACCAATGTTTACCCTTTTTGCAACAAATTTTAAAAGTCAGAAGAAGAAAACATCACCCTTGATCTTATAAGAACCATAGTAATGATGCAATATATTGCATGAACCACTGCCAATACATTGATGAAAATTTGCAGCTGATATAATAATGCTTCCAATGACAAAAATGGAACGTTCCCATGAGATAAGGCGAAAAACATATTTAAGCTTCGTTTGGAGAGCCTAATTGAAATCAGTCCCTCAGAGGAATGATAAACTTAAATCAGAGTCACAATTTGCTTTATGATTTATAAAGCACATGGAGAAATTTCAAACTTTAACCAAATATTGAAACCATGGTATTATACCTCACCAGAACAATGATTGACTGTGGAAAACAGGCGTTGCCTGTTGTTTATCGGTCGAGGAGTTTTGACTTCATGTTTGCATGGAAGCATAGTGGATACTTTATAAATAGGGATGCATATTTTACTTACTAGACCTTTAAAGACAATTAATACAAGGAAAATAAATCCTAAAAACACCAGTTCTGCCAACAATCATGAGTAAAAGAATTTGTTAGAAGAAGAAAAACCGATGAATCCATCTCAAGAGAGAGAGATAGGGGAAAGAAAAATGAAGGAAACAGACCTTTCACTTTTTGCAGTGCTTCAATAGTGCATCTCGTTTGTTAAGCTTCAAGCACTGAATGGACAAGCATAAAATAAATGGACGGTTCTTTTATGCTATGACCACTGGATCAACATGTATAACGAAGATCATAATGGTACCCTCCCAAGGTGATCTAGACCTCGTTCGGCAATAAGAGACACCAGAAGAAATAGAAAAAATAGCAACAACCACCAAAGTTGGCGTATACTCCAAATTGAACTATTATTCTGCTGCCATATCTTAATTTTCAATATCAATGTGCCAAAAAGGAAAGCAAAGGAGTAAATAAAAAAGGGGTCTTATATGATGACCTTCATGATTATATCATCTACATGAAATAGAAATGAAGATGACAAACTAATAAGCATATAAGGAGGATATGCAAAGGTGAGGAGGGTAAGTAAAAGAAAAGTAATATGCTAAAGGAATTAGCCAAGTGAACAAGGAAAGCATAAAACTTCCACTGTTGACATATAGGACATAGAAATTGCCTTCAACATGGAGGGTGGAGTGTGCTAATTAGGAAGTTACCGTTATGGTCGTTAGTGTCAGGTGGTTAATGGAGTTCAATATGGTACTTGTTTCTTCTGTTATGGTGAACGCCATGTACTCAGACGAGTAGGAACCAACTCAAAAGTGAGTATATAAAAATTGATAAAAAGCATAATGATGTGACATGTGTCATATGTATCCAAAGTGATAACATAACATATATCATGTGTACATAAATATTAAATAATGATGTGGCATGTGCCATATGTATTCAAAGTGATGACATGATATGTATTATGTGTACATAAATATTAAATAATGATGTAGCACATGCCACATGTAAACAAGTGATGAGGTGACATATTTTACCCAAATATAAAACGTTGGTCTTAAAGTACTAAAAAAGATAAGAATAAAAATGATCATTTAATCAAACATTAGAGATTTTTTTTTACATCATGCTCATATAAAAATCTATATTTAACTTATAATTAATTGATTCTATCGACAATTCAGTGTCACTTGCCTCGTGATATACAACTTAGCCAAATACTTTATTATTGGTATAGAAAAAAATTCAGATAACATAAGTGTTTGTGTTTGATCTTGTACACACTACAACTCAGTTATCAGTTTTGTAGTGTTTCTACAACACTACACATTACATCTTGTTGTATAATTTGTATGCTTTCATTTGCTTCTTTTTCCATTCTATCAGTCTGTCTTGCACCAGAAACAGAGGAGCCCATCTTACTCGCTTTATATTTTCCTCTTGCAAGCCAATTCTCTATTTTAGTCTTAGTTTCCTCTCCAAACATCCCTTCATTGAATTTGCTACCCATCTTTCACCACCACCCAAAAAATAAAGGGAAAAAACATTCAAACAAAGAGCATAACAATAAATTAAGTCTACCCAAAATTGCGTACCTGTGTAACTAGAATGTACAAAGGTAAGGTGATGTAGCTACACAGAACTTGAACGTTCACACTGCAAAACCAAATAAATTGTAAAAATAAAAAACAACGGTGAGCTTTAGATCATAGGATAAATTCACTGGTTATTGAATAGTTACCCCATTATAAGCCTAGGGACGATAAACCCGACTTTTTACGTGATGCATGACCGGAATCCATACGTGCTCTTACAAGAAACAAACTTGCTTGATCAGTAAGAAAGATAGCTTAATTATTTATTTATTTGTGACATTGGCGGGTATAATAAGATCCAGAAGAAGAAAGTGAGTTCGAATGCTTTTTGAAAGAAGATGAAGTGAATCAAATATGAAACGTTGGTCTTAAAGTACTGAAAAAATAAGAATCAAATCATTTAATCAAATATTAGAGATAATTTTTGACATCATGCTTAGATAAAAATCTATATTTAACTTATAATTTATTGATTTTATTTGCAATTCAGTGTCACTTGCCTCGTGACATACAACTTAGTCAAATACTTTATTATTAATATAGACTAAAAAATTCAGATGACATAAATGTTTGTGTTTGTGTTTGAACTTGTACACACTACAACTCAGTTATCAGTTTTGTAGTGTTTCTACAACACTACACATTGCATCTTGCTCTATAATTTGTATGCTTTCATATGCTTCTTTTTCCATCCTATCAGTTTCTCTTGCACCAGAAACAAAGAAGCCCCTCTTACTCGCTTGATCTTTGCTTCTTGTAAGCCAATCCTCTAATTTAGTCTGAGTCTGCTCTCCAAACATCCCTTCCTTGAATTTGCTACCCATCTTTCACCACCACCCAAAAAATAAAGGAAAAAAACATTCAAACAAAGAGCATAACAATAAATTAAGGATTGTACTCTACCCAAAAAAAAATTACGTACCTGTGTAACTAGAACATACAAAGGCAAGGTGATAAAGCTACACAGAACTTGAACGATCACGCTGCAAAACCAAAGAAATTGTAAAAACGAGCAATGGTGAGATTTAGATCATAGGATAAATCCACTAGTTGTTGAATAGTTACCCCATTATAAGCCTAGGGACGATAAACCCGACTTTTTCCATGATGCATGACCGAAATCCATACGTGCTCTTACAAGAAACAAACTTGTTTGATCAGTAAGAAAGAAAGTTTGGTTATTTATTTATTTGTGACATTGGCGGGCATACCAAGATCCAGAAGAAGAAAGCCAGTTCGAATGCGTTTTGAAACAAAATGAAATGAATCAAGTGAAGAATGATGGCAGGCCTTTTAAACCAAAAATGCTCGTCGGAAGGTTTAACTCGTGCTGCTTCACCTTTCTCCTTCATTTCACCCACATCCTGAGTTAACCGAATGATTACATGCTCTAGTTTAGCCCCCAAAACAACCAGAAGCTGTGAAGGTTTGTTTAGCATATCGATTAAATGATATCTGAACCTCAATATGTATGAATACATTCAGCAGTTAATCCACTTACAACAACAGGGAGAAATGATAGCCAAAAATACGAATGCCATCCTGCTTGGAAACAAATAGATGCCTATATTACTATAGTTTATACATTATATAAATACGTCGAATACATTTAGATTAAAGGAACCTTACCTTTCACATTAAATAGCAAAAACATCACCACAAATAGCCACATGTACCAGCTACATATACATAAATATACCAGACAAGCAGGCTATTAGTATTTTATGGGCTCAAAACCGAAGGGATATCTAAAGGATTAATGAAGCAATTACCTTATGCCAACAACTTTATTGAAGTCGACTTCGAGGGTTCGCATCATGTAATTGTGGAAATCAAATTCAGGATGGCCTGGGATATGAGCCTATAATAGAGGAAAGGGGAAAAGGTAATTGGTTTAACATATTCTTTTGAAGAAATAAAGATAATATTGGTTTGGGTACTTAACCATGATAAACCCTTCTCGAAGTACGATATACTCTGACTTGGTAATAGAGTTGTAAAACTGCTTGAAAAATGACCTCTGCCCACACCACAACCCCATAGGAATGGTAAATATCTACATCTATAGAGGAGGAGATAATATGAATATATAGGTGAAAGGCTTACGATCCATATCACCATAGGTGTCTTTTTCCAACCTTCTTTCGCATGTTGCGTTATAAACAAATGGCGATGAAGTGTATCCTCTGTCGGTGTTGAAAATTCAATGCACCGAAAGGTGTAAGTTGAAATTTGAAATAAAAAAAAACAAATGCACCAAAAGGTGCATAGTCAAAAAGGTGCAGCAATTTGTTGAAAAAATGAAAGGGGAAATTACAAACTTTAGTCACTAACTTTAGGGTATTTACAAATTAGTCATTATGATTCAACTATAAATACCCTAGCTCATTTAGCTTCAAAACCATCCCAAAGCATTCTAGCTTTCTTCCAATACTAGAGAGAATTTAGAGAGTTTCTTGAGAGTTGTTTTCTCCTTTTTATCAAGAGAGAATTATCATTGTTTTCTCCTTGGTAGATCGAGAGAGGTTGTAATTCCTATTTTTCTCATAGTGAAATTCTTCTACCGTTGCCCGTGGTTTTTACCCTATATTATTTAGGGGTTTTCCACGTAAATTTTGTGTCTCTTTTATCTTCAATTTTTATTTTCTCAAATTATCAGTTGCATTTTTGCTCTATCCGATAGCCGTCTTTCGCAACAATTGGTATCCGAGCCAGATTTGAGTGTGTAATATCTGCTTATTGTCTTTGTGGTTGCCACCAAAAGGTGGATCCTCCAACATAAGAAAGTAAGAAGTTATTACACATTCTTTGAAGGTTCCAGAGAACTATTCACTATAGTGAAATAGTGGGAGCTATCCGTAATAGAAGCTATGACAACGAAATTTGATATTAAAAATTCAATGGGAGAAATTTCTCACTGTGAAAATTGAAGATGAAGGCCATCCTGAGGAAAGACGGTTGTCTAGCAGCTATTAGTGACAGGCCAGTGGATTTCACAGACGACAACAAATGGATCGAAATTGACGGGAATGCTATGACAAACTTTCATCTAGCATTAGCAGATGAAGTATTATCAAGCATCGAGGAGAAGAAGACAGCTAAGGAGATATGAGATCATCTCACCAAATTGTACGAGGCCAGATCGTTGCGCAATAAAATTTTCCTTAAGAGAAAATTGTACACTCTCCGGATGTCAGAATCTACTTCAATGACATAGCACTTAAACACACTGAACACTTTATTTTCTCAGCTTACATCCTTAAGCTGTAAAATAGTAGAACAATAACGTGCTGAACTTCTACTTCAAAGTCTACCGGATTCGTATGATCAACTCATCATCAACTTGACAAACAGTAATATCATCAGTCTAGTCTTCGATAACGTTGCAGCTGCTGTTCTACAAGAATAAAATCGGCGCAAGAACAAGGAAGATAGACAAGTAAATCTGCAACAAGCAGAAGCATTGACAACGATGAGAGGGAGATCAACAGAACGTGGCCAAAGCAGCAGTCACAAACATGGTAAATCGAAGTCGAGGAGCAAGAAGAATTTAAAGTGCTACAACTGTGGAAAGAAGGGTCACTTGAAGACGGATTGTTGGAGTCTAAATAAAAACTCCAATCCACAAGGCAATACCGCAAACACTTCAGATGATGGAGATGCTTTATGCTGTGAAGCGTCAACCACCATGGAAGACAGAAAAAGATTTGCAGATATATGACTCATTGATTCGGGAGCAACATATCACATGACCTCAAGAAGAGAATGGTTCCATCATTATAAACCTGTCTTAGGAAGATCTGTGTATAGTTGCAATGATCATGCCTTAAATATCGTTGGCGTGGGAACCATCGAATTGAAGATGTATGATGGAACAATTAAAGTTGTTCGAGATGTGCGGCACGTGAAAGGCCTGAAGAAAAAATTATTATCTTACGGATTGTTGGATAATAATGCAAGCAAGATTGAAACACGGAAAGGAATCATGAAGGTGTTCCGTGGAGCTCTTGTGGTGCTGAAAAGCGAAAAGATAGCTGCAAACTTGTACATGCTGAAGGGAAAAACTTTGCTAGAAGCAAAAGCCTCTGTTGTCTCATGTAGTTCAGATTCTGCAATGCTATGGCATCAGAAACTTGGACACATGTCAGAACAAGGAATGAAAGTCCTTGTGGAGAAAAAGCTACTTCCAGGCTTAACAAAGGTATCACTTCCTTTGTATGAGCATTGCATAACAAGTAAGCAGCACCGGTTGAAATTCAACACATCAAATTCTAGAGGCAAAAGTGTTCTAGAATTAGTTTACTCTGACGTATGGCAAGCACCAGTTACATCCCTAGGCGGAGCAAAATATTTTGTCTCATTTATTGATGACTACTCCAGGAGATGTTGGGTGTACCCTATTAAAAAGAAGTCTGACGTGTTTTCAACTTTCAAAAACTTCAAAGCGCGGGTGGAACTTGATTTTGGAAATAAGATCAAGTGTTTCAGAACAGATAATGGAGGAGAATACACAAGTGAAAATTTTGATGACTTTTGCAGGAAGGAAGGCATCAAAAGGCACAGTGACGAACACTCCTCAACAAAATGGAGTGGCAGAGCGGATGAACAGAACCTTGTTAGAAAGAACAAGAGCAATGTTGAGGGATGCAAGCCTGGAAAAATCATTCTGGACAGAAGCAGTCAATACCGCCTGTTATTTGGTGAATCGAGCTCCATCAACTGCAATAGAGCTGAAGACACCAATGGAGATGTGGACTGGTAAACCAGCTGATTATTCAAACCTCCAATCAAATCTTCAAGTGGGAGATTGTTGAAAATTCAATGCACCGAAAGGTGCAAGTTGAAATTTGAAAGAAGAAAAATAAACAAATGCACCGAATGATGCATAGTCAAAAAGGTTCAGCAATTTGTTGAAAAAATGAAAGGGTAAATTACAAACTTTAGTCACTAAACTTTAGGGTATTTACAAATTAGTCATTATGATTCAACTATAAATATCCTAGCTCATTTAGCTTCAAAATCATCCCAAAACATTCTAGCTTTCTTCTAATACTAGAGAGAATTTAGAGAGTTTCTTGAGAGTTGTTTTCTCCTTTTTATCAAGAGAGAATTATTATTGTTTTCTCCTTGGTAGATCGAGAGAGGTTGTAATTCCTATTTTCTCATAGTGAAACTCTTCTACCGTTGCTCGTGGTTTTTACCCTATATTATTTAGGGGTTTTCCACGTAAATTTTGTCTCTTTTATCTTCAATTTTTATTTTCTCAAATTATCAGTTGCATTTTTTCTCTATCCGATAGTCGTCTTCCGCAACAGTCGGGCCGTAAGAAAACATAACCATTAATCTTGTTACCCAATAGTGAATCAAATAATACATTAATTTGGAGATAAGTTTTTTTCATCATGTTACCTCTTCTATTCCAATGTTTCCAGTCTTCCCAATGTTTCCATCTTCGTATCTGCATATGTAAACAAAAATTTATCAACATCTTTTTTAAATAAAGTCTACAAGGGTTAACATCTTTTGGTTGAATATTATTTATTTATATAATAGTTTGCATCATTTGAAATGTGTTTTTGGATGAGGTATTCTATACGACAATCATGGTAATATTAGGATCGACTGTTTTTCATATTCGGATTGGAGAAGATGTAAGGGAGACAAGTGATCTACTTCATAATATTGTGTTTGTTTGAGGCATTTTGGTTTTATGGAAGAGTAAGAAATAAAAATATGATCTCACGATCCAGTGCAAAAGTTGAATATAGATATGGTCAAATTTGTTTGAAATCATATGGATATTTCAGCTCTTCAATGAAGTGGGAATTAAAGTTTCACTACCTACAAATCTATGATGTGATCGTCAAATTGTGCTACACACCACTTCTAATTTAGTCTTTTATGAACGAACGAAACACATCGATATTGATTGTCATTTTATTCATAAAATGATCCAACATAATTTGATTATTACTGACTATGTGAAAACTGAAGAACAACTAGAAATATTTTCACAAAATGCTCTTAACGGGTCTGGATTGATTATTTATGTAACAGGTTGAACATGATTAATATCTATGCTACAACTTGAGGGGGAGAGCTACAAATTTGTAGGCTAAATGATAATATTAATATCTATTGTTTAATGTAGTATATTACTTAACATAATATAGAACCTTTATACTTGTATAAATATCTATAATGATGATGAATAAAATACAAGAATTCATTCTCTTTCTAATACTATTTTATAGTGTTCTTGAAAGAAAATTCTCACAATTCTAACTCAGACAAACACGTCAATTTTCTCAAATCCAAGAAGCTTTAGAACTCCAAAAATATTTTTAGCAGATTTTTTGTGTTTAATTTAGTGAAATTTTAAAAGATTTAGAGAAAATCTTAATCAATAGTGTGATAGAGGATGATGAGACAAGTTCATTGATATCTAGGGTGGTCGTAAAAGATGTCATCAATGGCTAAAAATGAGGAAAAACCTAAGTTTAGTTGCTTAATTGAAACTTTCTATAGTTGAATGATCAAATCTAGATAACACCTAAAGTTCAGTGACCAATGTTCTAATTTACCCTTTATTTATTTTGCAACAAATTTTAAAAGTCGGAAGAATAAAACATCACCCTTGCTATTCCAAGAACCACCGTAATGATGCAATATATTGCATGAACCACTGCCAATACATTGATGAAAATTTGCAGCTGATATAATAATGTTTCCAAAGACAATGAGGGGACGTTCCCCTGAGATAAGGAGAAAAAAATAGATTTAAGCTTGGTTTGGAGAGCCTAATTCAAATCAGTCCCCTAGAGGAAGGATGAGCTTAAATCAAAGTCACAATTTGCTTTATGATTTATAAAGCACAGGGAGAAATTTCAAACTTTAACCAAATATTGAAACCATGGTATTATACCTCACGAGAACAATGATGGACTGTGGAAAACAGGCGTCGCCTGTTGTTTATCGATCGAGGAGTTTCGACTTCACGTTTGCATGGAAGCATAGTGGATGCTTTATAAATAGGGATGCATATTTTACTTACTAGACCTTTGAAGACAATTAATACAAGGGAAATGAATCCTAAAAACACCAGTTCTGCCAACAATCACGAGTAAAAGAATTTGTTAGAAGAAGAAAAACAGATGAATCCATATCAAGATCAGAGAGAGATAGAGGAAAGAAAAAGGAATGAAACAGACCTTTCAATTTTTGCAGTGCTTCAAATAATGCATCTCGTTTGTTAAGCTTCAAGCACTGGATGGACGAGCATAAAATAAACGGACGGTTCTTTTAGGCTATGACCACTAGACCAACATGTATAACGAAAATCATAATGATACCTTCCCAAGGCGATCTAGAACTCGTTCGGCAATAAGAGACGCCAGAAGAACTATAAAAAAAATAGCAGCAACCACCCAAGTTGGCGTATACTCCAAATTGGACTCTTCTTCTGCTGCCATAACTTAATTTTCAATATCAATGCGCGCAGAAGGAAAGCAAAAGAGTAAATAAAAAATGGGGTCTTATATGATGATTCTTGCCTTCATGATTATATCATCTACATGAATTAGAAATGAAGATGACAAACTAATAAGCATATAAGGAGGATATGTAAAGGTGATGAGGGCAAGTTAAAGAAAAGTAATGTGCCAAAGGAATCAACCAAGTGAACAAGGAAAGCATAAAACTTCCACTGTTGACATATAGGACATAGAAATTGCCTTCAACATGGAGGGTGGAGTGTGCTAATTAGGAATTTACCCTTATGGTCGTTAGTGTCAAACGGTTAATGGAGTTTAGTCTACAACTTGTTTCTTCTGTTATGGTGAACGCCATGTACTCAGACGGGTAGGAGCCAACTCAAAAGCGAGTATATAGAAATTGATAAAAAAGTATAATGTCAAAATTCAACCCTAACATTTGATAAATTAGTCATTTTGGTCGCTATTTTTTGAAGCACCTTGGCTCTTGACGTTTTATTTTGGAGTAAAAAGTCACGTGATTGAATGAAAATCATTAGTTGACCAATGATCAATGCTTCTCATTGACATGACAAGTCATATGTATTCAATCATATGTATTCAAAGTGATGACGTGACATATGTTATATATACATAAATATTAAATAATAATGTGACGTATATCGCGTGTACATAAGTGATGATGTGACACATATCACATGTAAACTAGTGATGATGTGACATATTTTACCCGAATATGAAACGTTGATCTTAAAGTACTAAAAAATAAGAATCAAAGAGACCATTTAATCAAATATTAGAGATATTTTTTGACATCATGCTTAGATAAAAAAAACTATATTTAACTTATAATTTATTGATTTTATTGGCAATTCAGTGTCACTTGCCTTGTGACATACAACTTAGTCAAATACTTTATTATTAATATAGACTAAAAAATTTAGATCACATTAGTGTTTGTGTTTGATCTTGTACACACTACAACTCAGTTATCAGTTTTGTAGTGTTTCTACAACACTACACATTGCATCTTGCTCTATAATTTGTATGCTTTCATATGCTTCTTTTTCCATCCTATCAGTCTGTCTTGCACCAGAAACAGATGAGTCCCTCTTACTCGCTTGATCTTTGCCTCTTGAAAGCCAATCCTCTATTTTAGTCTGAGTCTGCTCTCCAAACATCCCTTCCTTGAATTTGCTACCCATCTTTCACCACCACCCAAAAAATAAAGGAAAAAAACATTCAAACAAAGAGCATAACAATAAATTAAGGATTGTATTCTACCCAAAGAAAATTACGTACCTGTGTAACTAGAACATACAAAGGCAAGGTGATGTAGCTACACAAAACTTGAACGATCACGCTGCAAAACCAAAAAAATTGTAAAAACAAGCAATGGTGAGATTTAGATCATAGGATAAATGCACTGGTTGTTGATAGTTACCCCATTATAAGTCTAGGGACGATAAACCCGACCTTTTCCATGATGCATGACCGGAATCCATACGTGCTCTTACAAGAAACAAACTTGTTTGATCAGTAAGAAAGAAAGATTGATTATTTTTTTATTTGTGACATTGGCGGGCATACCAAGATCCAGAAGAAGAAAGCCAGTTCGAATGCGTTTTGAAACAAGATGAAGTGAATCAAGTGAAGAATGATAGCAGGCCTTTTAAACCAAAAATGCTCGTCAGAAGGTTTAACTCGTGCTGCTTCACCTTTGTCCTTCATTTCACCCACATCCTGAGCTAATCGAATGATTACATGCTCTAGTTTACCGCCCACAACAAGCAGAAGCTGTGAAGGTTTGTTTAGCATATCAATTAAATGCTATCTGAACCTCAATATGTATGAATACGTACTGCAGTTAATACACTTACAACAACAGGGAGAAACGATAGCCAAAAATACATATGCCATCCTGCTTGAAAACACACAGATGTGTATTTTAATATGGTTTATACATTATATAAATACGTCGAATACATTTAGATTAAAGGAACGTTACCTTTCACATTAAATAGCAAAAACATCACCACAAATAGCCACAGGTACCAACTACATATACATAAATATACCAGACGAGCGGGCTATTAGTATTTTGTGGGCTCAAAACCAAAGGGATATCTAAAGGATTAATGAAGCAATTACCTTATGCCGACAACTTTTTTGAAGTCCACTTCGAGGGTTCGCATCATGTATTTGTGGAAATCAAATTCAGGATCGCTTGGGATATGAGCCTATAATGGATGAAAGGGGAAAAGGTAATTGGTTTAACATATTTTTTTGAAGAAATAAAGATAATACTTTTGGTTTGAATGCTTAACCATGATAAACCCTTCTCGAAGTGCTATGTACTCTGACTTGGTAACAGAGTTGTAAAACTGCTTGAAAAATGACCTCTGCCCACACCACAACCCCATAGCAATGGTAAATATTTACATCTATAGAGGAGGAGATGATATGAATATGTAGATGAAAGACTTACGATCCATGTCACCATATGCGTCTTTTTCCAACCTCCTTTCGCATGTTGCGTCATAAACGAATGGCGCTGAAGTGTATCCTCTGTCGGACCGTAGGAAAACATCATCATCATCAATCTTGTTACCTAATGGTGAATCAAATAATATATTAACTTGGAGATAAGTTGTTTCATCATGTTACCACTTCTATTCTCATGAATCCAGTCTTCCCATTGTTTCCATTGTTTTATCTGCATATGATAAACATGAATTTTCAAGGGAAAACAACTTCTGAAATGGACAATATATATTTTATTTATACTGGGGAAAAAAGCATCACCCTTGCTCCTCCAAGAACCATCGTAATGACACAATATATTACATGAACAACTGCCAATACAAAGATGAAGATGTGTAGCTGATGCAATGCTTCCAGTGACAATAAAGGGACCTTTCCCTGAGATAAGGGAAACAAATATCAGATTCAAATTACGGTTCTTAGCCTAATCCCTTAACCGAATATCAGAACCATTGTAATATATATACCTTAGAGCAATGCTCTAAGGTGGTCTCCGTCGAGAACAGGCGCCGTCTGTTGTTTATTGCATGAAGAGAATATTCTTTATGAGGTCTGCCTTCACTAGGCGGCTTGCATGGAAGAAGAACGGTTGACACGAAAGAATCAGGGACGCACATTTTACTTATTAGACCTTGAAAGACGGTCAGTAGAAGGGAGATGAACCCTAATAACATCAGTTCTGTCAACAAAAATGGATACATATTTGGTTAAGAACAAAAATTAGAACATTTGAATATTCAAGCTATAGTAAGGACTCAAACCTTCTTTCAGTTTCTGCAATGCTTCGTTCAATGCATCTTGATTTTTATGCTTCAAGAACTAGATCGACAAACATAATATTTTAGACTATGACCATCGACCATCATGTATATGTGAAAAAGGTTACGAAAATTTGTATTGGGTACCTTTCCAAGGTGATGAAGACCTCGTTCAGCGATAAGAGATATGAGAACAATGAGAAAACAAACGACAGCAACTATCCAAGTCGGCGTATACTGCAAAGAGCTTGGCTCTTCTGCTGCTGCCATATCTTAATTTCCACACGTGTGCTAAGGAAATGAAATGAAAATTGTTGCAGAGCATGATGATTGCTTTCACGAATTTATCATCTATTTGGAAGAGACATGAAGACGTGAAGGTGACAAAACAATAAAGCATAGGCAAAGGTGAAGGAAAAGAATTTTAAATAATGAAAAGTAGAAGAAAAGTAATGTGCCAAAGGAATCAACCAAGTGTTAAAGCAAAGCATAAAACTAGAGGACTCACCCGGGATCGACATCAACCTCTGTATTCACACACAAAGAATCTCATAACCAGTAATAATCAATCGATTACCCTCATATATTAGTTCTTGACTTTGTATTGATACGTATGTAAGTTTCGTATGCTAGGAAAATATATCTTTACTTTTTCGTTGGTTTTAAAACATTTTTTCATATCATGCCAAAATATATTGATGATTTACGCATACTTATTAAATATGTTATATTTTATGTAAATACATAAGTGATGGACACAAGATTTTATACTAGGACGAACTTATAAAATTTTATAGGGAATCGAACTTGTAGAATTTTAGATGAGAGAGAAAATAAATTATCAATAGAAAATACATAAAAAAAATCTAAAATATAAGAGAATTTGAAAATTTTAGGAGGAGACCACCCCAATTGCCCTCTCGACCCATCTAAGGTGGTTACAAAGTAGCATATGTTTAAAATATTTTTAATCATTTGACAATGAACGCTCAATCATCCATGTTGAGGTCGCCAGTGTTCAAATTCGATACCCTTAAGAATAACAACTATTTCTTTAACTATTACGGTAATTTTTTTCGTGCATGTTTATAAATAAATTAAAATTTATAATTTTTTCAATTTATATATTTATTATGAGTTAAGATGTTATGATAAACTATGCAACACCCACCTTTCATGGTCGGAGTAATCCAAATGAGATTAGATTTTAATTAATAAATATAAAATTTTTATTTATCTATTTATTTAAATCTAGATCATTTAAAAACTACTATTTTTTATCATTAAAACAAATATGGTTGTTCTCTTATTTGGTTTGTCCAATATTCTCCTTTATATGGAAATAACAAATGAGTAGCATTATTAGTTTTAAATCATTTTTATAAGGAAAAACAAATTTATAGTTCTCTATATTTTTTATTTACTTTTGAATAAACCTATTTTAAATTTAATTATTTTGAATAATGCATTGTATTTTTTTATTTTTTAACCTAAAAAAATATAAAATAAAATAAATTACGAATGACATAAATCCTCTCTCAAAGATTCTCTCGGTTTACTGAAATCAATAATAAAAATAAGATTCAAAAACCCTGTTCGTACCAACTCACAACCCCTTTTTCTCCTTTGTAAACAAAAAACACTGAAAATCCCTCTTTTTCCCCTTTTCATCCTAAATCTCTTTGTTTTTCTGCAATGGAATCTCTTTCAAGTACATTTTTCATCTCTAATCTATCTGAGACACACCCTTTTCTCAAAACTCACTTGCTTCCTTCTTCTTCATCTTCTTCTTGTTTGATCAAAGCGCCAAACAAACGAATTGAGTCTCTCAAATTCAATTCCGAAACCTTTCACTCTCATGGTTTTCGTCTCCAGGCTTTATCTCACGAGTTCCCCGATGAAGGTGAGGACCACCCGCAGCCACGGACTCTCAGTCCTGGGTTTAGGCTTGTTTCTGGAGACAGTCTCTCTGTATCCCAGGTAATCTGATTAAATCTGTTTCTCGCTTTGTTTTTTTGGGATTCTCTGTTGTTTCCTAATTTGGGTTCTTCTTAAATTATATATTTAATGTTTGCTTTGTTTATTCTACAGCTTGTTTCAGAAAATCAAGGAAAGATACATGAGAAACCTCACTAACTTTGCGTTTGTTTTGATAGAAAAGCAAACCTAATGTTTTTTTTTATGATTTGAAAATAAAAATTCAGTTTTGGTTGGTAAAAATTATAGGCTTTAATTTTTATGGTTATGTTTGAATGTTTCTTAAATTTGGGCTCTTGAAGCAAGTTGCAAAACTAAAAGCAAAACCTAATGGAACTTAAAAGGTTATAAACTTTCAAGTTTAGAGGACCTAATGTAAGGGATCGGTTGAGGGTTTTAAGATTTTATAAGGGTGATGTGATCATGTGACTATAATTTATGATCTTTAGAACCCCTTTTCCTTTTCCATTTCTTGGATGTCTTAGAGGCTTGTTGGATGTATCGAGTGGCTGCTTCAGCTTGGTATTGATAGTCTCTGTTATGTTCTGAAGGGTGATTCAGATGACGGTCAAAGCAGCGAGAAGGATGCCGACAAATTAACAAAGGTTGAAACAAAGTTTGAAAACTCTGTTACAGCTCCACGTGCAAGTGGAGTCACTGGGGGTACAAGAGCTGGACTTTTCAGAACCCCAATATCTGGTGGGGTGCAGAGTGCAACTTCAGCACATGGATTACCCCGACCGGCCTTAGCAGTCCGCAATCTGATGGAACAAGTAAAGGCTATTTTTTGAGTTCACATCTTGAGAAAAAAAAAATTGACCTATTCTCTTTCTCTCTGTCTCCTTTATAGTTTTACTGTGATTTAATAGTCCTGTATTTATTGGCCTCTTTAATTTAAGGCCAGATTTGCTCATTTATGCACTGTAATGTCTCGGATGCACCACCGAAGAGAAGGGTATCCCTTTGGTTCTCTGGTAGACTTTGCGCCTGATTCAATGGGTCGTAAGTAGACTTCTGAAGTTCTGTTATTTGTTTACTATTTCATTCCACCATAAATATCATTTAAACTTTCTTTGTTGCTAAGCACTTTTTTAAAGTGGCCTTCATAACTTTTATCCTTCATGAAAATAGCATACCTTTTTTCCTATAAATGGACAGCTGTGTAATGGGAGTTGATTTTGTGTATAAGTTTTTGGATTTATTTGATATATCTTTGTTTGTCAATCTGCAGATCCAATATTTTCATTTTCACCATTGGCTATCCATACGCGGAATTTATTAGCAGACCCTAGATGCACCCTCGTCGTGCAGGTTAATTGTTTTGATCCTTTTGTTCTGATGGAATAGTTGGGTTATTTATTGTCCATTTATTGAAGACGGGCTTACAGATACCTGGGTGGAGTAGCTTATCAAATGCAAGGGTAACAATATTTGGCGATGTCTACCCTCTTCCTGAACATCAACAGGTGCTCAGTGCTCACCTCAATTCCTTTTTCCTTCTGTTTTTTTGTGATGAGGAGGAGGGTGAGTTGATACCCAGTTGGGATACTTAGAAAAAGAGATTGAGACTTCTGTTTTTTCACTTCATGGGCTCATGGTCAAGGTTCCCTTGCCTTGAGTCTCCTTCTGTTAGCTTGTAGAGGATGTCTCTTAGGAGGAACGTCCATTTCCTCACTGTTTAAGGAATGGATACTTTTGGACATTTTCACTTTTCTTCTATTTGACCACATGTTTAGCGGTTACTGTTTATCTCTAGGTTCCTAAACGTTTGCCATGATTTGTATCATCCATGCCTACATATTTTGTGCCTAAAATAGGCTTCTTCACCTTGGTTATTTTGCAAGGAATGGGCTCATAAACAGTACATAGCGAAACATCAACAAGGGACATCACAACAGTGGGGGAATTTCTATTACTTCAGGATGCAGAACATAAGGTCTGTTGATCTATAGTATTTCTTATTTCTAATGCCAGCGTAGGTTTCCTTCTTAGAAAGCCCATGGGCTAATTATCTATGCAATTCACCTTATCTATGACCTGTTTTTCTTGCTGATACTTTTGTTTGGAATCTGCTAATATCTATTATACAGTCATGCACTTCTTATAACATTTGGCAGGGGTTAATAGAAAACAACCTGTTTTCTCTGAATTTTGGAATCAAGGTTCTAGTTGCCTTGTATGTTTAGTTTGTGGTTCTACTACCCAAAGATTTGATTTTACTGAAATTGATTTGGCATGGAGAAATAAACATTTTTGTTGTTCGCTTTGATCGTAAGTTTCATTGTGTTATCAGTTAAGACTCTTGGTTTTCTGTGTAATATATGCCACCATGTAAAATAAACCGATGCTCTCGGATTCAGAAGGCTGATTAGTTTTGGAATAAACCAGTTAATTAACATCCCCCTCTTTTAGTTGTTTTTTTCTTTTATGCGTATTAGTTTTTTTGAAAATTTTGTACTTAATATAATTTTTCATATAACGTACACGTTGAAAACATTTATTTATCAAAATCTATTTCAGTGACATATATTTTATTGGAGGATTTGGCACCGTTGCATGGGTTGATGTTAAGGAATATGAGGAGCTTAAACCAGATAAGATTGCTGTTGATGGAGGTGAACAAAACCTGAAGGTGAAACTTTGTAAATCCTTACTCTCGTTTTACTTTTATATTTTGTACTGATTATATGCTCTATTTTTATGTGTTTCTTTCTCTTTTCTGTTGAAAATACAGTCTAGTAGTAATTCATTTCTCATTCTCCAAAGAAGTTTGTCAATATGCCCAGTTTTCGCAGGCTAATTTGGGTTTCATTTGGTTTTATTGTAGGAACTGAATGCAACCTTTTCAAAGCCTCTTAGGAAGCTGCTGTTATCAACAGAAGCCGAGGTTGATGATGCGGCTCTTATATCAATAGATAGCAAAGGAATTGATATCAGGGTCCGTCAAGGTGCACAGGTATTGTGTATTTCGCATGATGGCTTTTGACAAACATAAAAGTCTCGACACGGAGGGTGCATGCCATTTTTGTGTGATTCTATTTTTATTCCATTTTTCAGTTCAACGTACAGAGGTTATCATTTGAAGAAGGGCAAGCTGTTGAAACATTGGAGGAAGCCAAAGCTGCTTTGTGGAACGTAATAAAAAAAGGGCAAGTGCATAATCTGAAGAAATAGCAGTTTTATTTTTGGCCTTTAATGTGAAGCATAAGGTGACTCTGCAAATCACTCGAATGTAATATTATAGAGAAGCTTTTTCTTTTTCTTTTTCTTTTCATTAATAACCTTTTGTTAGAACAAAAGTCATGGATGTTAATGACATTTTACCCTATATACA